CATGAGGCAGCCTAGAAGCGGTGAGCCGCGGCACGAGATCACCCGAGATTGCCCGAGAGAGAGAGAGCACGCGTCACCCGGCGCTGCGGGTCTTGAGGGTGCCTCCAAGCAGGTTGCCTATAGAGGTTGAACGGGGTCCTGTCCAAGATGACCAGGTGAGCAGGTGACCAGGTGACCACCCCTGGAACTTTGATCTCAGGACCCCCCAGAGCGTACCCAAGTGTCTGCGTGACCATATTACAGTGGCCAGGGGCGGGGCTTGCATTTTTGCCGTCGCCAGTCGCCCCCCCCAAACGCTACAGCGGGGGCGGCGGCGGCGGCGGGGGCGGCGGGGCGGCGGCGGCGGCGCGACGGGGACACGGGGTGGGTAGGGGGGTGGGGAGCCGCTGCCGTGTGCGCTGCGCGTGCGCGCACCGCACACCATACGGCGGGAAACAGACGGCGAAGGGGGGCGCGGCGGCAGCGGCGCAGCGCGCGCGCGGCGCGCGCGACGGAGGGGCGGAGCAGCGACCGCTGGCGCGGTCGCTGCTCCGTCTGTCCCGGAGCGCCGTCTGCGCGGGGTGCGCGTCAGGAGAGGGGGCAAGCGTGGCGGCGCGGGACGCGCGGCGGCGGCGGCGAGCAGCAGAGCGCTCCGTGCGCGGTGGGGCGGCCGGGCGAGGGCGCGGCGGGTGACGGGGAAAGGGAGCAGCCGGGCGACGAGAGGTAGGAGGTGCTCGCCGGCGAGCGCTCCCGCGCCTGCGGAGGGGCAAGGCCTGAGGGCGGGCGGGCGGGCGGGCGGGCGCGGGGGGGGGGGGGGGATAAACGCTGCGCCGCCCCCGCATCAGCGACACTGGCCGCGGCTCGCCGCCGCGCGCCGGCTCGGAAGAGGGGCTGTCGACGGCACAGCAGCGGCACGCCTCGGTGCTCGAGCCGCCGACAACCCCCCAACTCGACGTGACGGCCGTTCCCAGGGCCGGGGGGGGTGCGCGCCCGACCCACGCCCCCTCTCGCACCCCTCCGACCCCCCCTGCGCGGCGCACCTATCCGCTGTGCGCCGGCTCGAGCGCCTATTGCCAAATCGCGACGTTTGAGCGCAGCGCACGCGTCCCACACGTCACGCGCGCGCAGGAGAGCTTGCGGCACCGCGGTAGCGTGTACTCACCGAGGGCATCGCGCCGCAAACCCCGCGCATTCCGCCCCAGCAGAGGCTGCAGCCGATGCGCAAGCTACACCACTGTAAGAATGGTGACCATATAAGTGGTGTAGAGATTGGTTGTTTCCACAATCAAACAGTCCGTGAAGAGTGCTTGATTCACGGACAGCGAGGCTGCCCGCAGTTCAATCGTTGCCCGCAAGCGGAGCTCCCCACCGGCGGGCTTGAAGACACTGAGCCGAGCGCGCCGGCGGCGGACCGCCGCCGGCGCGCTCGCTTCGGCGGATGGCTGAGCGGCACAG